ACTTTAGAAGAAATGGCTAGAACCATGCTTTCTGAAAACAATTTGTCAAAATATTTTTGGGCGGAAGACACAAATACCGCTTGTTATGTAATTAATCGAGTAATGATTAGGCTTATTTTAAAGAAAATTCCATATGAAATTTTCAAAAATAAAAAGTCTAACATTAGTTATTTTCATGTTTTTGGATGTAAATGTTTTGTTTTCAACAATGGTAAAGATAATCTTGGCAAATTTGATGCTAAAAGTGATGAAGGAATTTTTCTGGGTTATTCCTTAAATTCTAAAGCTTATCGAGTATTTAATAAAAGAACTTTAGTGGTAGAAGAGTTTATCCATGTTATTTTTTATGATAATCCCCTTTCGAGGAAGGATTCTTGTGTTGATGATGACGTAGGTATTTTAAATGCACATGACGTTGGACATGACGCTGGAGAAACATCATCAAAGGAAGAAGTGAAATATGAGAAAACTCAAGATGCCTTCAAGAATCTAAACATTGAAGAAAGGGAAGTCTCACACCCAAGAGAGTACAACTATGTCAAGGATGGTGAGATATTAAGTGATCCATCAAAAGGGGTAACTACTCGATCTTCTCTTAGGGACATTTGTAATTATGTTGCATTTATCTCATGCATAGAGCCTAAAAATGTTAAATAAGCTTTGTAGAAGAACTCATAGGAGTGGCTTGGGGTTTGAAATTTTCCAATCCAAACTTCTTTAGAATATCCTTGACATACTTTGCTTGATTGAAGAAGATGCCATCATTTCTTTGCTTGATTTGGAGCCCCAAGAAAAATGAAAGTTCCCCTATCATGCTCATCTCAAATACAACTTGCATTAGCTTAGAAAATTCTTGGCAATGAGCATCATTAGTAGAACCAAATATTATATCATCAACATAAATTTGAACTACTAATAAATCTTTACCTTTTCGTTTCAAAAACAATGTTGTGTCAACCTTCCCTTTTGAAAAACCTTTTTCTATTAAAAAAGTTTGACAATATTTCATACCAAGCTTTAGGAGCTTATTTTAAACCATACAGTGCTTTTGTCAATTTAAAAACATGATTTGGAAATTTTGAATCTTCAAATCCAGGAGGTTGTTACACATACACTTCTTCTTTTATAAAATCATTTAAAATGTACTTTTAACATCCATTTGATATAATTTAAATTCATTGAAACATGCAAATGCTAATAACATTCTAATAGCTTCCATTCTAGCTATGGGAACATATGTTTCATCATAGTCTATGCCCTCTTCTTGAGTATAGCCTTGAGCAACAAGTCTATCCTTGTTCCTCACTATATTACCACTCTCATCTAGTTTGTTCCTAAGCACCCATTTATTACCTACGTTTATATATTTATTACTACATGTTTTTTTCTACAATTAATTATATTTTATTATATGAATGATAGGTGGGTCGTCACACTTAGTCACGACCACCTACCATAAAGTCTACGTGATTTTATATTGTCAATCGATAAGATGAAAGACGAGGTAATCAATTTTATAATTTTAATTTGTAAATTAAATATCAATTTTTAATTCGAGTTTTTCTAACATAGTTTAAAAATATTTGTTTAGTTCAAGTGGACACCGTACAGTGACAGTGCTATTACAGAGTGTACTCTGGATGAGATACATCACAGTTCACAAGTTTGGATGTAGATGCTCCTATTGATAGTATATGAGATCGTCGAGTGGCATCCTGCTGATCGCATGTTGCGGAAATTTGGTCGCGTCCAAATGATTCCACCACCATCAAGAACCTTGGACAATGCCTTACATCGCCTAACGCGATAGGGGAAGACGGATGTTAATTGAGAGGTGTATCATGTGGATTGGGCAATGTAGTGGAAGTAGAGGTTCGTTATGTAGCCCATTTCTAAACCCATCTTGGCCTACAGTGTTTCAGATGATTACATGCTATGGTACAGGAAAAATGGGATGCCACATATACTAACCGATAAGAAGTGAGCGCGAGAAATTTATAGGCCTCCCCCAAACTGTCCGCCCACGTAACGTGTCATGACGCAACATCCCACGATGCAACGTGGTGTAAGTCAAAGTAGACGAAAACACGCTCAAGCCTCATCATCGAGAATGGCACAGGAACCTACAGAGCATCAGACATTGTTGACGGTACCTACATTCACCCACTCGACTCAGTCAGCATTTCAGTATATGGCGACTCCATCATCATTTTAGCGTATGGCGCCACCGACAGAAGGTTTGTTTGCCGACTCATTTTATTCCTATCCAGTGGTCGTTGTCCATTCTCATTGTCCACTTGCACCAACTGAACCATATTATCTATCACCTCCGTGTGCATCTATTCGACCATTGGCAACTGACTTCGGATCCGACAATGTTGAACATACACTGCCACGGAGCATGTTCTACACCAGTCTTGGTCCCAGTGGCAGTGTGGTACTGGCCATGTAGATGAGGGTGATGATGGTGGTGATGGTGATCAGAGTGATGATGATGCCCCCGAATATAGATTGATTCATAGAAATCCTCGTCGGACTCGTTGTCTACCACAATGCGGTACGAGTAAAAATAGGCATCATTAGTTGTTTAAATTTATAATTTTTTAGTTATTCGAACTGCAATTTTTTAGTTAATCGAACTCCGTTTTCTTTTTTGTTTAAAAAAATAATATTTGAATATAATGTTCTAGATTTTTTAAATTTGTTTAAATTGTTAACCAACTTTAAATTATTAATTTGTTTAAGTTATCCTTGAATAATATGATAATTAGTCGTTCGATTTGATGCATAAACAACTTGGGAATCATCATACTCACACAAAATTTATTTTAATACTAATTTATATTTAAAAAACTACACAAGTTGTTTAAAGCTCTCTATCCCGACGTTTACAGGCAATACGTAGCATAATTGGCTCTTCGCCCTCATGGTCTTGTGATAACTGAGTTACTCCTTCATTTCTTGTTGAATATGGTTCTTCCTCAAACGTTACAGTTAACTCGATGTTCCTACCACCAACACGTATGTAAGCCTTAAACATCTTCTGAAGGTTGCTTGTATTCTATAAGGTCAACATGTAATGTGCTCAGTACTAGTATTTCCCACGGGAACTTTAGCTTGTAACGAAGACATCAGTCGTGATGTAGATTTTTTAAGCTCCGTTGAAATCAAATCGTAACACTCATATTTCTTAATCTTGGCATTGAAGGAAATGTATAAATAAGTTTCATAATGGAACATAGTTGTAGAAAATCTCGCCATTAATATTTGTTTTGTTAAGGTATTTCATCCAAAATAGGCATCGATCTTGTTTTTAGAGACATATTTTCTCCCTCCTTTTAAATCGAGAGTTGCCATGTCAACTCAAATGTTGCTGAATCACTACCACGTCAGGAATCTATGCGGAACTCGTGTTTTGCAGAGCTCGAGTTTCCTGACACGTCATAAATCTATTCAAAACTCGCTTTTTGCACAGAGCAAGATTATTAACTATAAATATCCCCTCATTCTATTGATATTGTAAATTTTAACATGGTCTATACTTATAAGAGGATTTTCTTCAGATGGCACAACTTGGCACTAAACTTATGTTAATATTGGTGCTATAAGTTATGCCACCCGAAAAGAATGTCTTTTATAAAAGATATGGTCTTCTCAACAAAATGCTTGTTTCGTAAATTCCGCCTTTTTCGTCAAACCAACAATATTTATAAAAGACGTTCTCTTTGGGTGACCTCTTTTGCAACTTGTCTTTTATACGGTATATTTGTAAAGTTGATTAAACATGAGTAACCCGACCTTCTTGGGAAACTCTATGAAGGCATCCTCTTCTGGTGACATCCTCTACGACTTTTCTCACTCATGATGCTGATTTGACAAATGGCACACCGTCACTCGTCTTATCGATCGGGAAACTGGTCGTTTCTAAGAAGGGATACTCTTCAGGTGGCTCCATCGACTTATCTCTTGTGACGTGGATCTGATAGTGGTGGGCATGGCTTTCGAAGTTCTGAATTCCATTTTATACCCGATCCACCCTCATTAAACCCACGATGTTTCTAAGAATGCATCATTTTCCGGTGGCATCCTCTACTTAAGTCATCAAACCCACAGATGGCACACCTCTGCTCGTTCCCTTATCCTTATTGTGTTTTTTTCATTGCACTATTTTTGTTATTTTCAACATGATTATTACACTGCTTAAAATGTCTCGTATGTGCCAATAATAGCCATGTCTATCAAGTCATTTTAGCTTGTTCTGCATGCATAAAACCAAGCATTGGATCCATTTTGAACGTGGTTTTGTATCTTCTTATTCTTGAACAAAACAAGCTTTGGTACCATTTTAAACGCGGTTTTTAACCCGCCTACAATATCTCGTATGTCTTTATATTAGCTTCAATTGAAAGATACATTTCAATACTACGTGAAAAATCTTATAAATTACAAAAATTTCGAGGTTAAATATCTGAACATGCCCCCGAACATACCTATAAGCACTTGTGGTTTGCTGGAAAAACTAAATACCTCACTTTTTGAAAAACATACTTTTCGTGATAATAAGGTGATTCAATATCTCAAATACCTTACATTCTGATAGCGCGATGTATTAAATAATAATATTAAATTGAAAAATCTGAAAAGTGCATAATACCTCTCATCCTGTAAAATACGAGGTATGATCACGGGTTGGATAGGACTCGAATTAGTCCTATATGCGCACAAAAGGGGTATTTTTTTAATAAATCTACTAAAGGGTTATCGTTTAAAAAATAATAATTAATGAGGGTTTTTAATTTAATAACACCGTTATAATTAATGTATTGAAAATAATAAATAAAAGAATCAATTATTTTATAATAGAGTTGTTTAGATGTGTTATGATTTGTTAATTAAATAATATAATATTTTGATTAACTATGAAAATATTTATGATTAATTCAAGAAAAAAAATATTTATGATTGTGTACAAAATATTGCAAAATAAACAGCATTGACATCTTTTACCATAATATTCCACCCAATTCGGCAACAATGAAGTTTGCTTAAAAATGCCAACACTCCCCCATCTATCTGTTTTTACAATTTCACAACTAGATTCAAGTCGCTGCTTTCCCTTCCTCCTTCAGTAATTCCTGATTAAATTCTACATGAGAAAGAATCTATTTCCATAAACAATAATCATAAGCACCTTATTATTATTTACCTGTTTTGTAGTTGCAATTGAAATTCTCTGCCTTTCTTTTTTCTCACGGTGGCACTCTCCGCACCAGCTTAACAAATCTTTCTGATATTTCCTCAGCTCCCGGAAAACCGAACTGGAAGAGCTTAAACAGTTAGCCATAGAAATATATATATATATACTCCAATTCTCAACCCCATACATTGTAATACACTTCAAGGAAACCACACTGACATGAACCCCCAACACTTGCAAACAACATTGAACATGTAAAACTCGGCTCTAATAATGATCCGACAGAAAGTTCAAAATATCAATTAACAACAAAGAAACCAAGCAATTAACACTGTTAAACAACAGATGATCTATCTCATTAAGAGCATCTTGACTAGTTTCGAACAACACAAGGACAATGTAGCCCAAACTATTTCCGAACAAATCCTCCTATTGAAGCTTTTATTAGGAAATATGGAAAATAAGTCCCACTAGACAGCTTCAACATTAGAATCCTCTTTCCGTCAACTTAGATTTGTACCCAATACATAAACTAACAAAAAACAACATAGATGTTTCAGGTAGCACCGCTCTCAAAGGATGCATGTGCCAATTAAATTAAAATTTCAGTCATCCACTAATATTTTAAAGTATTTCAACTCCAAAAACAAGTCTAAATTCAAAATCTAGTCAAACATATGCATTGATAATCTAAAATCCTTTAGCTTCTCTAAGAATTGTCCTTCTTAATATTTCAGTATAAAATACTAAATTAATATATTTACGCAAATTATTGACTAAGATTTACTCAAGGAACAAACTCTTTCCAATTTGCTACACATCAATTTTAAGAAAGCCTGACTTTACTACTTATCCATTCAGAGGTTATTTATGTAATGAGCAAGAGAAATACACCTCCTGCACCACAGAAGTAAGTTGACCCGATGACCAGTTGTTGTGGCTCTTGCACCATGCCTATGGCGCCCTCGATGAAGAACTGCACGTCCTGGAACATGAGAATAATCCAAAACTTCCTATAATGCACAAGGAAAGAGAACAAATTAAATGAACATTTTGTTATAATGACTAAAAAATTAACAGAAAAAGTAGACATTCTGTCTTTTCTTCAACGAATCCATATCTGCTAACCAATTTAAATACTAAGCCTGCCCAATGTTGTCTAGAAAATTACAAAATGAAGGGAAATCTACAATCATTTTTTAACCTATCTATAATTTCCCGTTCTCATTTATAATAGAAAATTAGCCATACTGGATTCAAAGAAGCATAATAGGCTATCTTGATATTCCAATGATTCTTCACTTGAAAATTGAATAAATAACATAAGAAAGGGAGGGGAGGGAAGGTGATGCTGTATCCGAGATGAGATGGTTCTTGTTAATTAGCAACTAAAAGGATCTTTTATCAAACAGAAACTAAACTTCATCCTAATGCTTAGGAGAACATGCAGCTATTATAGCTTAATAATTAAGCCAACAGAGTTTCAGTTCACGTGCCTTAAAAATAACAGTAAAAGAAAAAATTAATAAGGATTAGCATACATCTTCCTGGGTTTCCGTATTGACGTGATTATCACAACGAACACCTCGAAAGAATAAGTCCCCACCAGTAAACTGTTTACCCAGGCAAACATTTAAGGTGACTTCTGAATCATCAACATGAAAACCTACAAGCAATCAAGAACAAAGCTACAGAAGCTTGTGAAGCTACAACTTTAACAATATTTTAAATTGAAAAATCTCTACCAGAAAATAAGTGATAATACAGTGGTATTATAAACAAGAAGGTTAATGGAACGAGCATCAATTATTAAAATTTTAATGTGCATCAAAATTAACATATTTGAAAAAAAAAAGATAGCTGACCTTGCTGACAGTGCAGAAATTCACGAAAAGTAGATAAGACACATGAAATGTAACAAAATGACCCATGCCATCATTTAATAAAGGAAAAAAGTAATGAGCAATGCATAAGAAAGAGACATTCAGAAAATTATCTCTTGCGATATCTTATGAACACTTAAATTGTAGAATCCAAAAGAATTGTTGATGTGTATCTATTGTAGCCAATGCTTTAATTTTTTCCTATGGTTATATATAGTTCCAGCTTACATTATAAAATATGAACTATTATCATTCAAATACCATATAGAAAGGAGTTAAATGAAAAAAGAACATAAAAAGAAGTTAGAACCTACCAAGCTCAATGTCCCTATCAATTCCATATTCAACGACAAAACCATGATGAGAGTCCAGCGTTGATCCACCAACATCAGAGAAGAAAACTGCAGACCATTTTCCAAAATAATAAATTAAAAAAAACATCTAGGTAGCATGCATTTACAATCTCGTGATGGATGGAAATTAAATACCTTTGGATATAGGTCGGATGAAGTCCTCCATCAACTTGTCAAGCATGGTCTCCAGACCAAAGTCATCTAAAACAGCACCAAATTTGTTCATTGTGTTTGGTCGCATGATTCTGAATTTTGTCTCATGGACCCATTTTTCGAAGTTCTCTACCTAAGCAATCAGAACCTGATAAGAAAATATAAAACTAAAAAAGAACAAACTTAGATGCAAAATGGAGCAAGAGAGAATGCAGCAATGATATAACCTCAGATAACAACAATTCACAGAAATGGGGCTGAAGCATTTCAAATGTAAAAACTCCTTGGGAAGGTTCAGTCATGATTCTTCTAAAACTTTCCTCTCTATTCTCATTAATTGCTTTGACAAATGATGGAGCAAGGAAGTTGGAAGCATTCATGGTATACAATTCCTTATGCAGCGGCTGCAAAATGTAGAGGTAACTTGACGGGGGAAGTACATATACACATAAAAATATATACAAGCCTTATGAAGATAATATACACTATGCTCCAGAAATAAATTAAGAATTCAAACAATACCTGATAGTGTGATATAATCTTTTGCCTGTATTCTCGCTGCATTTGAGCCTGTTACCAAAAAAATCCGAAAATGGATTTAAAGCCAGCACCACTTAATTTGTCACACGCGAATCTTTTTCAGTTTCCAGATATCTAAATTCTAGAACAATAAATATATTCCTTGTATAGCATTTTATCGTATTATAATTTATAAACATTCATCCAATTTTCACCTGACATTCAAACATATAGTGATAAAAGAAAGCGAAAATAAAGGTAATAAAAGGAGAAAAGAAGCTCACGCGAGTACGTTCGCCTTCAGGAGAGTAACGAAGGATAATGTCGCGCATGTAATGGAGCTTGGAGTCGCGAGAGTGTGAGAGCATCGGAGGAGGCAAGTAACGTTCGAGCGAGCTGAACAGAAGCGGACTGAACTCCAACTGCAAACCCTCGTAGCTCTCCGGCTTGTGTTCCGTGTTAGGGTTCAGCCGTAACCGGTTATTCGTCGACATGCACTGCAGGGCCGCCACGCCGTTCCCGTTACGATCAGCCGTCGGTGGCGTTGGCTTTTGAGTCCCCTTTTTCGTCACTTCTAAAGACATAGTTCTCTCTTTTATAGTATTTCTTTTTAAGATTTGGGTGAAATCATCTACACACTAACAGAAACAATTTCCAACTATTTGTATCAAACAAACAAAAGAATGCAAGATTGAAGAAAAGACTGACAGAAAGAAAACAAAACAAGGAAAGTGGGTCGTTAAAGAAATCAATAAAGAAGACAAACAAAGGAAGCGGCTGAAAGCAGGAATTATGCTTTAGGGACCTGTTTTCTTATTGATAAGGGGAAGGACTATGCTTCAGAATTAGGGTTTGAGGAATTGTGATTGGGAAGGAGGGGATCAGGCGAGCAAACTTCCCCATTTGGGAGCCTGGGTTGGAGGGTATCTTAGGTGTTTCCACGTGTAATAAGAATTTTGATAAACTACGTGATTAGTACTTAAACTATCAATTTTGATCTGTTTTAGTACATAAACTTTCAGTGTTTTCAAAATATATCTAATATTTAATTTTTGTTTCATTTTAGTACACATTATTAAAAATTTAACGCGTTTTATACCTAAACTATCCATTTTGGTATGCTTTAGTACCTAAACTCTCAATTATAAAAAAATAACGTTAAATTTTAAATAGAGATAGTAAAATGAAACAAAAACTAAACTTTATGCATGTTTTGAAAAAACTGAAAGTTTAGATACTAAAATAGACCAAAATTGATAATTTGCATACTAAACGTGTAATTTACCTTAAGAATTTTACTTTTAGGCTTACTAGTATTTTTTTTATGTAAAATATACAAATGATCTATCGATTATAGGAAATTACGTAATTGACTCCTATGATTATTAAGGATTATGAAATAAACCTTAATAATAATTTATTGTTTTGTTGAATCAATTGATTATTAAAAGTTATAAAATGATCACCCAACTCTTCATATATTCTAAACTCGTCATTTTCTATTAAAAAATTGACAGTCCTATAAGTTTACTGTTAACCTACTTATTAGGATATGACAAAATATTATCCTATAACTGTTTGTATTGTATAATCATTTGAGATTTTTAGAACATATTTTATCATATCACAATCAGTAGATTAATGTACAAGTCATACAACAGTCAATTTTTAACAAAAAAGACGAGTTTATAACATAAAAATATTCGAATGATTATTTTATAACTTTTAATAATCAATAAATTCAACAAAATAGTATCTTATAGTCTGAAGACTATCTTATAATTTTTAATAGTCCAACGATTCAAAAAGAAAACAAATGTGTATTTGTGTTCTTTACCCTACTTGTTTTCACTTCATTATAAGTTTAACCGTATCAAAGGTAATTAAAAAATTAAATAAATTTTAAATTGAATTTATTTATTAAATTTTGTAAATGATTGAGTTGAATTAAAGTTTATAATACATATAATTTGTTTATTAAATAATACATATAAATTAAATAAAAATTAATATAAAACTTTTTATTTACCAAGACATTACCATCAAGACGTTAATTAAGCAAAGACGTTAAAGGGTGCGTTTGGTTCACGGAATGTAAGATTATCAGTGGGAATGTAAGATTACCAGAGAATAGGATTACTGGGAATGTTGTATTTTGTGTTTGGTTGGTTTAGCAGGAATGTAAGATTACCGTGTTTGGTTAAAGGAATAAAAGATTATTAGAATGTATATTTGACCAAATTGTTCTTATTATATATTTTTATTTAACAAGTTGGAAAATATTTATATATTTTTTTAAAAAAAATTTAAATTTATAAATCTATATAATTTTTTTACAAAATTGAAAATATAACAAAGTTTAATGAAAGGGTAAAATTTTATTTTAACCCCTGAATTTCATATAAAATTTTAATTATAGATTTTTTTTGTAAATTTAAAATAGTTTAAGGATAAATTTGTAATTTAACCTTTGTAGAATTTTTATTATTCAATGACATAATAAGGATATTTTTGAAAAAAATTTAAGGGCATTTTAGTCCAAAACAACAATTATCTAACAATACCTAAGGAAAGGGAGGTAATGACATCCCGATAATATATCCAAAAAATTCACTATTGATAATGTAAGATTACTGGGAATAACATTCCCGGCCAACCAAACGGGAGAATGTAGATTCCATTCTTATGAGAATCTCACATTCCCCCAACCAAACACACCCTAAGGGTGCGTTTGGTTCACGGAATGTAAGATTACCAGTGGGAATAAAAGATTACCAGGGAATAGGATTACTGGAAATGTTGTATTTTGTGTTTGGTTGGTTTAGCGTGAATGTAAGATTACCGTGTTTGGTTAAAGGAATAAAATATTATTGGAATGTATATCTGACCAAATTGTCCTTATTATATATTTGTATAATATTACAAATTGTAAAATATTTATATATTTTCTTTAAAAAATTAAATTCATAATATTTATATAATTTGTTTTACAAAATTAAAAATATAAAAAAGGTTTAATGAAAGGGTAATTTTTTTTAACCTCTGAACTTCATATAAAATTTTAATTATAAATTTTTTTTTGTAAATCTAAAATAATTAAAGGATAAACTTGTAATTTAACCTTCGTAGAATTTTTATTATTTAATAACAGAAGAATGATATTTTTGAAAAAAATAAAAATTTAAGGGCATTTTAGTCCAAAACGCCGGTAATGTTATAATACTTAAGGGAAGGGAGATAATGACATTCCTGGTAATATACTCCAAAAACTCTACTATTGATAATAAAATATTACCGGGAATGAGATTCTCGACCAATCAAACATAAGAATATGGGATTCTCATGAGAATCCTATAATCCTTAAACCAAAAATACCATAAGTGATATTATATTCCTTTCAAAAAAGAATGTCTTGTCCTGTTAAACTTTTTTTTTTAAATAATACCGTTTGTTCATTAGATAAAACTTGAAAACAAATACAAACTTGGAAAACGAACTAAGAATGGAGAAAACAAGTTAAGCTCATGCAACACACAGAAAAAACAAAAACAGACAAAGACAAAGACAAACGGAAAGTAAACAAGCTAAATCCCTAAAGCACAAATAGAAAGGAAAAACAAAACCAGAAAGAAACGGCATAGGTCCCTCATTCTCCAACCAAGCAAAGAGATAATAACCTAAATCAGATGAGGGAATTTGGGGGTTCCTGCAAAGAGAAAAGTGATAATGAAATCCACCCCAAATTTGTATCACGTAGCATCTTCAAGTGAGAAGTATGTTCCTCCGGTCAGCATCCATGAAGGTTGAAACTTCTGGTGGAGCTTCTTCAATCCAAAGAGAATCAACAACCACTTTCTTACCATAAGAAGCCATTGCATGAGCCGCTTGATTACTGGAGCGGGGTGAGAAACTGAAGCGACAACAAACAAATCGAAGAGCAATGGCCTTAATATCCCAAATCACAGGTCGGAGTTCTGAGTATTCATCTCTCAACTCTTCAATTTTCTGCATTACGGTTCTCGAGTCACTCTCCAAGGTCACCAATTGGAAGCCCAACTCAGCCGCAAAGAGGAGACCATGTCGAACTGCCCTTGCCTCAGCCAGAAAAACCGAAACAAAATCAGGTTGAGATTTGACGCCGGATCCCATAATAAGCCCCAATTCATTTCGGATAATGAACCTTGAATAAGCTTTGTTAATTGTAGGTAAGCAACATGAATCAACATTTATCTTAACCCAATCAGGCAAAGGAGGAGACCACTGAACAAAAGTAGAAGGGTGAGGGCGATGCATGTTTTGCAGGGAGGTTTTATAATCTTGGCAGTAGCTCCGAACAAAAGTAACTATACATTCCACCCATTGAATTTTACCTTCATGAAGTTGCTTGTTGCGTGCAAACCATACTGCCCATATTGTGTATGCGATAATTTCCTTTTTGTAGCCTCTGCCATTGTCAAATAACCATGAAAGCCATTCAAAATAAGATAGGTGATTAGCGTTAGCCGATCATCTAACATTAAGCTTCTGCCACACCTGTTGCACAAAAACACAGTCTCAAAAAATATGAACTCTGAATTCAGGAGCATGATTACAACGCAAACACTTAGTATCAAATGTATTTCTCTTTTGAAATATGTTCTTAAGTGTAGGCAAATAATTCCACAGGGTTTTCCACAAAAGGATTCGAACTTTTGAAGGGCGGTCAAGATCCCAAATTTGTTCGAACACCTTTTTCTCGACTGGAGTTATCCGACTCTTACCCAAAAGGAGTTTGTCCCGTTAACTCTTTATATTATGTATATTAAATTAAGGTGTATTTTTTTATTAAATTTTTATTTCACATATATTTAATAAGATTTTTAATCTGAATAGATATCAAACTTATAATTTAAAAGAGTGAAAGAGAGAAAAGATATCTTAAAAGTTGTTATATAAATTGTTGATAAAAGAGAATAAACTTTGAAATAGATACTCGTGTAGTGTGTTATGATTCCAGTAACGAGCTTCATCGCTGTGGACGACCAAAAATAGAATCAGGAGGCTGAAAAGTAACGAGGTTATAGTATATTTACGAACCATGACTGTTGATTGCTGATTGGGAGCATCCATAGTGAGAAAAATGGCATTGAATTGAATGAAAGCAAGTTTGAATGTTAAATCAATAAATTATTCCTGCCTATATTAAGAAAACAAGTTTGAATGTTAAATTAAATTCAAAAGATTTAAGTTTTTTTAGGGTGAAAGTCTTGGAGGTATTAAATATATCAGTCGTTCTGTGTATGAGGCTGAAATGTGGGCGATTCTTGATGGCCTTCAGGTAGCTTGGAAGAGTGGAGTGAACTAGTTGGTGGTATAAACAGACAACATCTAAGTGGTGGACAGTCTTAATTCGCCTAGCCAGATGTATGAACCAGCCGCAGATGGCCAACATCGACCTTGGTATATGCTATGGGCTCTCGATCATCTACCAGCCTCCTAATGAAGTTCAAGGGATTCTCAACTCTGATCAGGACTACTTAAAAAACAGACTGTCCCATTGTTAGCACAATGCTTTCACTTGTAACAAAAAAATATAGTGTTTAGT